TGGAATTGGACTCAGATTGTCCTGATTCTTTTCAACATGATGCTCTGTACTCTGTCTTCCAACAGTATGCCGAGAGAGAGACAGAGAGAGAGAGAGAGGGAGGGAGAGAGGGAGGGAGGGAGAGAGAGAGAGAGAGAGAGGAGCAGAGGTCACTGTGGAGGGTGCATGGAAGGGTCTATCTTTCCTTGGGGTCTCTTTCCTGCTCTGTCTGCTTCCTGATGGCCATGAGTTGAGCAGCCCTCAGTGCTCTACTCCCGGGCCTAAAGCAATGGACCCAGCTGACCATGGACCTAAACCTTGGAAACTGTGAGCCAAGATAACCTCTCCTTCTCCCAGCTGACTTTCTCAGGCACTGGTCACAGTGATGGTGAGCTAACATCATTTACGTAAATGTAAACTGCACAGTCAAATTATTAAGATTGCCCTGTAGGCACTTTTAGTCCTTCCCCACCTTAAGATCAATACTGTTCTTTCAGTTAGTTTGAGGCTTCTTCATTCTTTTTCATTGTTTTACACTTAATTTTTCAATGCATTCTTGTAATTCATTTTGGAAAAAGATAATTTTCTTTCTTTTCTTTTTCTCCCTTCCTTTTTGTCTCTTTCTTTCTTTCTCTCTTTTTTTCCTCCCCTTCCCTCTTTTTTTTTTCGGTACTGGGAATCAAACTCAAGACCTTGTGCGTGCCAGGCAGGCGCTATGCTGCTGAGCTACATCCCTGGCCCTTCCCTCTTTTTGATGGGATCTTGCTATGTTGTCCAGGCTGGCTGGCTCTAAACTCCTGAACACAAATGATCCTCCTGCTTCAGCTTCCCAAGTCATGAGACCACAGGCATGTGATACTGCACCCAGTTTAGATTATTAATTTTCCAATAGGAGAACTTAAGAATAAAATTTTTTTTTTTGGTACTGGGGACTGAATTCGAGACCTTGCACTTTTGAGGCAGGTGGCAGAACCACTGAGCTAAATCCCTGGCCCCAAGAATAAAATATTTTTTAAGCAAAGCACCAACAAGTCAGATTTAACAAAACCCTTATTTTTAAATTTTGTACATTAGCAGAAGAAATGGAAAATTAGTTTCTCCTCCCTTGTACCTGCTCTGGTCGATCTCGCTGCCCGTTTACATGAAGGCAGTGTGGTCCTTCTCACGTACCTGGATCATGTCAGCTGGCTTGGTGATGTGCTCCTTGAAGACCAGGATGGCAGCTGCATACACATTGATGTTGTACTGCCTTGTCATCTCTTCCGCCCCTCTCCTCCTGAAGGACACGTAGCCAAATGACAGATAATCTTTGTACGCAAATGCAGTCAGCTGTGAGGGTTGAACAGAGAGAGAGTGAAGTGGACAGCTCAGCAGCTGAACAACTGATCCAGGAGACCTGCCTCCCTCAGCTTAGACAGCCCCGCTTGGTCTTCTGTCATTGCTACACTTTTGGGAATTCTACGGTGGTGCCCACACAAAAACTACCAAAAAGGCAAACACAATTAATTCTTTTTTTCAAAGATAAAATAATCACCTTGTTGAGATCTGTCCTAGGTGTGAGGCATGGACTGTTTGGGAATTACTTGTACCCAAATTATGCCAGGTGGTTTCACTGTGCCAACGTTTGGCACCTCCTCCCTCCCATGTCACGTGACAGTCACAGTGCGAGGTATGCGGGGCCCACAGTACAGGCAGGCAGGTGCCGAGGCACATGGGCTTCAGGGGCACCGCACAACCACTGTGCTGTGTGAGCCCTTGGTGGGCTATGTGAGCTCATATGCCTCTGTATCTCAGTCTATGAAATATGGGTGACATCCCTGTCACTAGGATCTTCTGAGGACTAAACTACGCTGTGTATGTGGACAGCATTGGCACAGTAACCAGCAGCAGTGAGTGCTCAAGGTGAGGTGGCTAAGAACAATTTCTGGTCTCCAAACATTTCTCATGCAAGCAACAATTACAGGCTGAGCACCCTTTACCCTAAATGCTTGGGACTGGAAGTGGTCTAGATTTTCTTCCAGTTCTGGAGCATTAGCGCAGGGAGAGACACAGTGAGAGATCCTGAGGATGTGAGCAATTCTAAACACAAAACTCATTGCTTCATATACACTTCAAACATAGCCTGATGGTAATTTTATATCAGTGCCTGCACTTTCCCTGTGACTCATCACATTAGGTCTGATGTGGAATTTCTCTCTCTCTCTTTCATGATGGTACTCAAAACATTTTAGACTTTGGAACATTTCAGATTTCAGATGGACAGATCAGGGATGCTCTACCTGTACTTTCAGTAAAGACCAACAAGCTACTATTTGCAGCCCAGAGATTACTTTCCACCTAAAAGCTGCACGCACCCTGCCGGCAGATGGTTACCTTATACAGCAGCGGCACAGAGGGCCCCTGGTCAAACAGAAGGACGTGTGGCTTATTCTCTTTCTGCCAGCCAGAGAGGAATCGGACATAGTTTTTACTTGTAACCTTAAATTGAAAACAGAATGTTAGAATCAACAGTAAATTCTTTACAACTTTATTATACTCCAGTCAGGAGATAAATATGTGGAAAAGATTATTTGCAAAAAATTAAAAAATATAAATTGGGGGGGCCAGGGATTTAGCTCAGTGGTTCCACAGCCTGCCTCACAAGTGAAAGGTCCTGAGTTCAATCGGTACCAAAAAAACCAACCAAACAAACAAAAAAACAAAAAAAACATTGGGTGTGGTGGTGCACGCCTGTAATCCCAGCACTTGGGAGGCTGAGGCAGGAGGATTGCCTCAAATTAGAGGCCAGCCTGGGCTGCATAGTAAGTTCAAGGCCAGCCTGAACTACAAAGGGAGACTCTGTTCCAAAAAACAAAAACAAAACAAAAAATGAAAAAGACAACTAATGTGTTTGATGGAAGCTATTAAAAGTATAAATAAAGAGCAAAATAAAAAGACAGATACTAGGAAACCTGGAGCTGGATCTTTCACAGATGGGAAGGGGACCAAGAGATGGGGGAAAAGGATGGAAGGGGAGGGGAATAAAAAGAATTTAGGTGTGTGGGCCCGGGATTTAGCTCAGTGGTTTCCGCAGCCTGCTGCAAGTGCAGCAGGGACCCGAGTTTGATCCCCAGTACCAAACAAACAAACAAACAAACAAAAAGAATTTAGGTGTGTTACATACATGTACACTCTCCATGATGAACGTTATCATTCTCTACTAACAAAAACTGAAAAGAAATGGAGATTTGATGTTTCCATCTGCTTCAACTCTTACAGACTGAAATAATAATTCTGCTTAAACAACTGTTGCCCTATTATAAAAGGTGAGCTTCTGAAGTTGGCGGATGCTGATTATAGACTACACCTCATGTGTTTGTGCGTGTGTGTGCATGCATGTGTGCACTCTACCACCACACCACAGAGCACACGTCCTCATCTGCTAACCCACGGCAGGTAGCCCAGCACTTCTCTTTCTCCCTGTGTGTAATGCTGGGGACTGAACCTGGCTCTTGACATGAAACCACTCTGCCTGTGAGCCATGCCGCCAGCCGACACTGGCCATTTTTTTGGGGGGTTCTCGGGGATCGAACTCAGGATCTTGTGCTTGTGAGGCAGGCACCGTGCCACTGACACTGGCCATTTTTTTGTTATTTATATATTAATTGGTACATTTTAGGTATACAATACATTTACATTTATCATTGGGTGCTTGTACCTGAACATGATGTATCTTGGTTCTTATTTTTTCCCCCATTACCTATGTGCCCTTCACCCCCTCCACTCTTCCCTATTTACACAGACTTTGATTCCATTTTTTTCTTTTCTCATAATTTTTCCTTTCCCTTCTTTCCTTTCCTCTTCCCCTCCCACCACCCCTACCCCTTTGGACCTTTTCCTATTTCAAATTATCAATTATTTGTTTTAATCATTTTCATCCTTATTTACACTTTCAGTTTCTCATACTAGAGAAACTATTCGGTATTTACACGTGAGTCCTATTTATTTCACTTAAGAGGATGGCCATAATATGCATCCATTTAGCTATAAATGACTCTAGTTTCTCGTTCTTTTTTTTTTTTTTTTGGTACTGGGAATGGAACTCGGGACCTTGCGCTTGCAAGGCAGGCACCAGAACCACTGAGCTAAATCCCTGGCCCAAGTTTCTCATTCTTTATGGCTGAGTAGTACTCCATTTTATAAAAAAACCACATCTTCTTTATCCAGTTTCCAGTTGATGGGCACTTGGGCTGTTTCCAAGCTTTAGCTATTACAAACTGTGCCGCTATCGCTGTGGTATGATTCTTTTAATTCTTTGGGGAAGATACCCAGTAGGGGAATAGCTGGGTCAAATGGGACCTCTAGTCCTAGTTCTTTGAGGTATCTCCATATTTATTTCCACAGTGGTTGCATCAGTCTGCACTCCCACCAACAATGGAGAAGGGTTCCTTTCTCTCCACACCCCTGCCAGCATTTGTTATTGGTTGATTTCTTGATAGCAGCCATTCTTTCTGGGGTGAGGTGGAATCTCAGTGTTGTTTTCATGTGCATCTCTGGAATGACCGAATGACCAGCCATTTTTAAGTGGTGCGAAGTAGAATAAGGTGGCCTATCCCGCCTGTACATTATACGCTTTCATTCATTATTATCTAAGCTGCTACTTTTGTTTGTTTGTTTTGTTTGTATTTTTTTTTGGTACCAATTGAACTCAGGTCCTTGGTGCCTGTGCAGGCGGTGAAACCACTGAGCTAAATCCCCGGCCCCAAGCTGCTACTTTTTTATTTCTTAAAAATATTCTTGAGAGAACAAATTAAAAGCATGCAGTTACAAACTTTTCATAGTAGTTTACCAGTTTCCCTCTACACTGCATCAATCTATAAAAAATCCAAGTCTGCTTCACTCCTCTGCTCAAATTCCCACAACAGTGCTGTCACCAGCAGGCCACGGTGCTCTGAGGCCCTACCAGCAGGAATTTAAACTCACCCTGTCCTACCACCAGCGACTTCTGCACATAAGCAGGACCACTGCCAGCCTGCAGGACTTGCCTTCTTTTTCTCTCCTCACTGGCAAAGCAATATCAGGGTCATTTCTGCCAAGACACCTTTCCAAGGGCTCCAAGGCACTGGATGGAAGTACCCACAACCCCAGAAGCTACTTGAAGAGTCCTCAACACGTAGGTATTCTGTGCCTGGCACATGACAGGTGTTTTACAAATGTTGGAGGACCCATCACAACTATTAGCATTTTAGGAGCACATGGTATTCTCTGACCTTTTAAGTTAGCTCCAACATTTTTTACATGAATAATGATCTTGGCAGGCTAGTCTATGAATAGTGCATGTATAAATATGATGGAAAATTTTGTATGTTCACTCTTTTGGTTGTTTTGCTTTGTGAGACAGGGTCTTGCTAAGTAGTTCAGGCTGGCCTTGAACTGGCAATCTTCCTGCCTCAGCCTCCCCAGTGTTGGGATTAGAAGTGTGTACCACTATATCCAGTTCTCTCTTTTTTTTTTTGGTACTGGGGATCGAACTCGGGTCCTTGTGCCTGCATAGCAGGCGGCGAAACCACTGAGCTAAATCCTGGCTCTTCCAGTTCTCTCTTTGGTAATATTAAAAGGATGAATTTAAAGCAAAATAAGAACCCATTCCTAGTAACTTTGATACCTGTCCTAAGAAACTTGAAAAAAAAGTGCTTTAAAAAATTTAAAAAACTGTATTTGGCTTCTTTTATTAAAGCTTTTCTTTGTAAAATGTATCCATATTGTCCCATCACTGTAAATTTTTAAAGTTCCAAAAATAATATTTGATTTCATAGGATATAATAGTGTTTTCTACAGAGATGATCATTAAACATATAAATGTAATTTAATTTGTCCTCCAGTTTTTTTTTTTGGTACTGGGGATCGAACTCGGGTCCTTGTGCTTGAGCAGCAGGCGGTAAAACCACTGAGCTAAATCCCTGGCCCAAATGTAATTTAATTTGAATATTTTCAAATTCATAAGATAAAAATCTTTACATAAGCAAATTAATGAGATGGAATAAATCTCTTATCTTACAATATGGTCTAACTTTTGTTGTTTAAAAAGGCTCAGTGTATCTTTGGGCTCAGATTCCTAGAACAGGGTAAAATCCAAGGGATGATTATTAACAAGAATGAACTCTTCCAGTCTCTGTACTGTACCTGTCTCAATGCTCAATCTTCTACAGACTTCAATTAAATGACCTGGCAAGTGATTAATTTATGCCTGTGAGGGGCTGGGGATTTAGCTCAATGGTTCTGCCGCCTGCCTCAAAAGTGCAAGGTCCCGAGTTGGATCCCCAGTACCAAAAAAAAAAAATATGAGTCTCAGGCCCGAGGGCACAGACAGTCCTGGGGTCCAGGCTCCTCCCAAGCACTTCTGAGCCATGTCATCCCAGGCGCACACTCACTTACCTTCTCCACCAAGCTCCCTGGCAGCAGGCTTTCCACAAACTGCCGAAGATTCTCCTGGACTACAGCGTTGTGGAAGAAAGAGATCTTGCCGTTTATGATGCCCAGGATGGAGGGCGTGCTGTGTGCCCCCAGGTGGTGGGCCAGGCGCCGCTCGTACCCCGCGTGGACCACGCCGATGCCCACACCTGAAAGGCATCCGAGATTCACATGAAGCCCTGTGGTGCCCCATGGCAGCTGGAAGAATTGCTGGGAAGTACTTTTTTGATGTTAGTGTGAAATTAAAATGGACTTAACAGGAGGGAGTATCTTTCTATAGACTATAGCCTTCTTTCACTTGCTGGAATTCAAGTTTGGTCAGTTTTTTTGTGGAGCAATCTGGCAATATTTAAGAAGAGTTACAGGCCAGGTGTGGTGGCACAGGCCTGTAATCCTAACACTCTAGGAGGCTGAGGTAGGAAGATCACAAGTTCAAGCCCAGCCTGAGCAACTTAGCAAGACTCAGCCTCAAAAACAAAAAAACCAACAACAACAGAAACCAAATGGCTGGGGACATAGCCCTGGGTTCAATCCCCAGTACAGATTAAAAATAAAAGAAAAGTTACAAATCTTTATGTCTGTCTATCTATCTATCTATCTATCTGGACAGGGTCTCACTATGTAGTTCAGGCTGGCCTTGAACTTGCATCGATCCTCCTGCCTCAGTCTCCCTAGTGCTGGCATTATAGGGGTGTCCCACGCTGCTCATTTAGCCTCTTATTTCTAATTTTGGGAGTAGATCATGATGAGGAAATACTTCAATGAAAAAAGAACACTTGGGCTGGGGATTTAGCTCAGTGGTTCTGCCCCCTGCCTCACAAGTGCAAGGACCTGAGTTTGATCCCTGGTACCAAAAAAGAAAAAGAAAAAAAGAACACTTGGTGCATCCTGTCCCTACTCATAAAGAATAAAAAAGAATGAACAACCCACGGGTTCAGCAACCTAGCAATAGTTTTTTGTTTGTTTGTTTGTTTTTTGGTACCGGGGATCAAACTCCGGTCCTTGCGCTTGCGAGGCAGGCAACAGAACCAGTGGGCTAAATCTCCGGCCCCCTAGCAATAGTTAGAAATAAAAACTCTAGGATTTATTAATTAATAGGACAGAAGAAAGTCACAGTCCTCTCTCTTGGGAACATGCCTCCTTTAATACAAATTATTGAGATATGAGAAAATAAATATTCTTAAAAAGTGACGGAAATGAAGATCCCTCGAAGTCTCATACCCCACATGACCACCATTAACTTCCTGTTCTGGGTGTGCACACACATATAGATAGCTAAGGCGAGGTGAGGTCACCTGATACCAACTTCACTCCTAAATAACTTCTCTTGTTCACATTCGGCCAATTTATTCAGAGAGTTGGTTTCCCTGCTAACTTTGGGAGACACCTGAGGGACCACCCGCTAATAAATGCCCATTTTCTTTGGTATGTCTAGGGGACTGCTCGAGCTTCCAAACTGAAGTTCCGATCCAGTCCCACAGCTGGCTCTACCCTGCCCAAGCCAGGTCAGTTGACAGTGGCTCCATCCTTCCCAGTCCACAGGCCAAACAGCTGAGGAGTCATCTCGGACTCTTCTGTCTCTCACACCCCACATCCAACCTGCCGGTAGGTGCTGCAGTTTCCCTTTGCCACACACCTGGAATTCAGTGGCTTCTCGCCATTTCCTGTGCTGCTCTCCTAAATCACCCCACTGCTCCTGCCTGGGCTGCCACAGTAACTTCCCAAGTGCTCTTCCTGTTTCCCCTTGGTCCAGGACAGCCTGTTCTTCCTCCCCCTCCTCCTCCTCCTTTTTTTTTTTTTTTTTTTTTCAGCACTGGGCAGTCAAACCCAGTGCAGTTCTATCACCGAGCTACATCCCTAGCCTGTTTTGTTTCGTTTTGTTTTTTTTTTGTACTGAGGATCGAACTCGGGTCCTCGCGCTTGCGCAGCAGGCAGCGAAACCACTGAGCTAAATCCCCGGCCCGTAGCCTGTTTTGTTTTGAGACAGGGTCTTGCTCAGTTGCCCAGTCTGGCCTTGAATTTGCAATCCTGTCTCTGCCTCTCAGGCATGTGCCAGACAGCTTATTCTTAACACAAGGGCCAGATGGTTCCTTCTAAAACGTGAAAATGAATCTTAATGATTCTCTACCAAAGCCCTGCAAAACTTGATCATTTCTCTTCGAATAAAACTCATGACCCACACCGGATGTGGTGTCCCTGCACTCAGCTGGCTCAGTCCCCAGCATCCTTGTGATTCTCTGGACACACTGGGGTGCTCCTGCCCCAGGGCCCTGGCACTGGCAGCCCCTCCTGCCTGAAGTGTGCACCTCTCAGGTGTATGTGTAGCCGACTCCTTCACCAACTTTGAGTCCTTCTCCATGAGGCTGACCTGCCCTGTATTTAGTGCTGTCCTCAACACAGGCAGGGTCCCTCCCAGAGTGCTCACTTGCCTCTTGCCACAGTGCTTCCTGTCTTCTGTGGTGCTGGGGATGAACCCAGGGCCTTTCGCATGTTAAGCATGTGCTCTGATCCAGACCCTGCTCACCACACACTGCCTCTTTCCCTGACTGGTCATTGCCTATCTTCTCCCCTAGAAAGGAGCCTCCCGAAGGCAGATAGCTTTGGTCAGTGACCCATTGGTGTGCAATAACCAATTCTTTATTGTTATACACTGAAATTGTGGAGAAAGAGAACAACAAACTGGTTTTCCTATGCACACATTCAACATAGCCCTTCACTTCTGACACCAGGTATGCAGGGGCTTCCCTCAGACACCAAGATGTTCCCTGGGGGCACTGACTGCGTGTCTCCCCTCCTTTCCCTCTGACACCCCTGACCCTCTCTGGGCACGGCATCCTCCAAGCATTCTGTGTTCTGCAACCCACGACTCTCGAGCCCAGGAGTTCAGGGTTTTCATGAAGGCCTTTTCATGCAACACAAAGAACCCCAGCCTCTCTCCCCTTCCTGGAGGATGGAGGTGGGGCTGAAACTTTCACCCTCTAATCAAGGTGTGGTCTTCCTGGAGACCACTCCCTACCCAAGAAGCTGTCAAGAGCTGCCTCGTTAGAACCAAAGATGTACCCATCACTCAGGAAATCCCAAGCTAGGAGCTATGTCAGCAATCAGGGTCAAAGACCAAATGTTAGAACAAAAAGATCTCTTAGGAGCTCTGTGCTAGGAACTGGGAATGAACAACAAAATGTACATATATTTATTATGAATCATGATAATAAAAGTCACCTTTGAACTGGGCATGGTGGTGCACACCTGTAATCCCAGCATTCTGGGAGGCTAACGCAGGAGAATTGCAAGTTCAAGCCCAGCCTGGGCACCTTAGTGAGACCCTACCTCAAAACAACAAAAAACAAAACAACAAAAAAACTATAATAAAAGGGCTGGGGATGTGGCTTATTGTGAAGGCCGAGGGTTCAGTCCCCAGTTCTGCCCCTTCCCCACGGTTTCAGCCTTCACTATTAAAAGGCAGGTTCTGATGGGCACCTTGGCGCATCTTTGTGCATTTCTGTGACTATTCCCAAATTAGTAAATTCCTAGAATGGAATGGCTGAGTAAATGGCAGGGATCCCAGGTTGAATGTTCTCAAATCGCTGGAAAGCCTGAGCAAACCTCTCTGCAAGCATTTGTGACCCCTGGATGTCCCCAGCTTGGGACCGGAGAAATCTTCACTTTACACACAGAGGCAGCCAGTTGGAGAGGTTAGTGGCCCGTTCCAGGGTTGCAGAGCTGATGAAACAGCAGGACAGGAATCCAAAGTGGATGTTGTATGTCACGTTTTATACCCTATTTTATCACACTGCAGGCAAAAAACATAATGATGGAACAATGGATGGAAAGTGGATGGGGAATCATTGGAGCAGAAGACAGGACAAGAATAGAATAAGCACATGTGGTGAGACACCAAGGCTTATTATGGAAAGACAGAAGAGAGTCACCAAGGGCAGTCACATGGCCACAAGGCAAAGGCCGATGGGTAGAATTAGCACTTCCGAGCCCTTCTGAGTTAGGGATCAACCTGGAAGTTTATATTCACACTTCCTTTTTTTTTGGTACCGGGGATCAAACTTGGGACCATGCGCTCATGAGGCAGGTGGCAGAACCACTGAGCTAAATCCCCCAGCTCTACACCCTTCCTTTTAATATAGCCACCCTGAAGGAAGTACTGTTTATGAGTGAGGAAAGATGCAGATTCTGAAAGCGGCTGCACCGTTTTCTCTGGAAAACAGGTGAGTTGGCCATGATGACTGGTAGTGACTGAGGGTCCCCAAGCCATGGAAACAACACACCTGCCACTGGCTCTTTCTCCACATTCCGAAGTGCAGGATTCTTTTTTTTTTTTTTTTTGGGTACTGGGGATTGAATTCAGGACCTTGCGCTTTCGAGGCAGGCGGTGGCACCACTAAGCTAAATTCCTGGCAAGTGCAGGCGGTGGCACCACTAAGCTAAATTCCTGGCAAGTGCAGGATTCTTAAAGCCTGCCTGCTCGGCCTACAGCAGGTGAAGCCATGCACAAATTTGGACCCTGATTCAGCAGGATCTGGCTGGATGACAGATGGATGTGTCCAGGATCCAAATGAACTTGAATAGCAATGTTTTATTTCTGCCATGCTAATGGCTGAACCCAGGACCTTGTGCATGTCAGACAAGAGCTCAGCCACTGAGCCACATCCCCAGCCCTTGAATAGCACCTTTAAAAGAAAGGCATATGACTTCTTTTAGAAGCTACTTGTTAAATGAATCAACCCTGGGGAATTAAAAATACTGTATTTTCTCCTCTTTGGGGGCTCTAAGAGGTCTTCTTTCCATGCAGTTCTAAACATTGCTGTCAAGCCTGTATTTTTAGGTGCTGAAGTACACTTATTATTATTGTGCAATCCTAAACATGCAGGGCATCTTCCAGGGAAATCCTTTCTTGGCCCCCTTTGGTACACTCATACACACATTTATTTCCCCTCCACCTCTGAATATGCCTTAAGTGTTGGCCCAGCACCAAGTGGAAGACTGCACCATCAAATCTAGCTCAAAACAACCTGGTAATAAAGAAGCAAAAATGATTTGAAATAAAACAAAACCAAGAGACCAAAACTGAAGCAGGAAAAAAAGGTATTTTACCAATACATAGGAAAACCCTTCTAGATTGTATGAGATTGCTACA